AGTTTATTTAAAGAAATGAACATTTAAATGTAGGAATCTAATTACAACAGAAACCAAATGCTGTGGAAGCCATGGGGGAGAGGGAGACTAGCTGAATGCCACCAGCTTATATACAGCAGTCACCAGGTGAGGTGAATTTAGCTTATGACCAAACTCCTCCCCTCAGGCTCCTGCAGGGAGAGGCCTTCTTTGAGACGGTCATCACCCCCCCCCCGCTCATAAAAAAGTGGTCCCACCATGAACACTAGAAATTAAACAATTTTAATTCACATTTAACACAGGCATTCACATTGAAAGTCATTTTGTCTTTGTTCCTTGGGCACCAAAGAAATGTTCACCAAGGTCAAAACATCATGCATCAGATTAAAACCGTCACACAGGAAAAGTTTGAGGTATTTTACTTTTCAATCTGGTTGCCTCATATACTTCCACTGTTATAGGGACTAGAAGTCTTGTGTCTGTTAATGACTGACAAAGATCCCCCCCATTTGTTCCTCAAGGTAGAATCCACTTTATAGAACTTTGCTTGTAATCATTCAACCACATCACCTCAATTTACAGCTTTCAGAAACAGGTTTGTTTGTGTTAATATTTTTGGTTACACTTCACAGACATAGTTAAATAAAAAAAGTTTAGTTTCATGTTTGTTGGTTCAGTTTTGAATTATGTATTGTTTCTTTGTTACTCACCTTTCAGACCATGTGTTGCAGGATGTAATGGAGGAAGAGGTTGGAAACTTCCTGTATTTATACCTTCAGTGACATCAGCAGTGATGTCACTGGAAGCAACCATGTGTGAGGGGAGGTGTAGTAAATGTTTGTAATGATTATTTGTCTTGTTTCAGTTTGTTGTGTTTCTGAAGTGGCAGAATGCAAGCTTTGGGACAATTGTCAGTACAGGCATATTCAACATTTGATTAAATGGATAACTTTCACCAGCCTGTTTTCAGGAGAGGCGTGGCCTCAGAGATTGGTTTGGTCTGATTCGGCTGCTGTTGATAGAAGGAGCTACAAAATCAATTTGTAATTGACATTCAGGGGAACTATGTCACAGTGTAACACCAGTTTGTATATATTTTTATTTTGTACATGTCAAATTAATCCACTTTTGTATGATAGTCAGTTTTGTTACCTGAAAACTGTTTCTGAATCTGCCTAAAAGCATTCATGTTTCCATGTGATTTTTTTATTTCTCTCATCTGCTCTTTATAATAACCTCATAAATCGAAATCATTTCTGTGCTCCTGGATACACAGCTGTTGCTTCTTCTGCAGCAATGAACATAAAAGGGCCATCACTATGTGTGACGGTCTTAAGGGTAGGGCTTCTCTCCTGCCTCAGTGAGTGTGTGTGTGCTCATCTGTCTCTCTCTGCTCAGACACTCAGATTTATTTTCTTAGCATTGGAAGGTGGCAGGATGCTTCTCTAGATTGTTGTGGCCCACTTTAACTTCTGGTTGCATCCTCATTTATTTGGGGGGCAGGCGGGGGCTGAAACATTTGGAGATAGAAGGAGGACAGAGTAGCACGTTTCATTTACAATATAAGATCGAGCCAATCCGTCTCAGTTTGTTACAGGAGCGTGAAATGCCTTTTAGATTACTTTGTAAAACTCCCCAGGAGGTGAGTTTCGATATTGCAGGGCTAAGTTTTTAAACTGCCCTAAACTTTATTTGGCAAGTCTTTGCTTTGTGGTGCAGCCATCTGAGTCCTTCTTCCTAAAAAGCAAGTGATTTAAAAGCTGGGGGTGCAAATTATACAGATATATTACATAAGTTCCCCACTGGCCACATGTGGGTGGTCTTGTGTTTCCTCCCTCAAGCTCGGCCCTTCTACAGTGACCACGGACCCTGAGGGTTCTGTGCAGTGGGGTTACAGCCCCAAGCACTCAGATTACCACTGACACTACGTTTTTCTTCACTCTTCACATTTTCTCTAGCTTCTCTATCAGCCTGATATCTTTCAAGGTTCTCATTTCCTTCTTCCTGATGTTGCTGTCGCTTGGGATCACTACATCTTTCACAATTGCCTTCTAATACAGATTATCAACCACCACAATTAAAAAAAACGAATATACATATTATTGTTATAGCACATGAGTGATTGTAAGCCAAAGGGATACTGAGAGGATCAGCTGTGGTAAAAGGTTAATGCATCTCAGTGCTGATTGGGCAGTTATTTTGTTTTATTCATGTGGACCATGAAAAAAATGCAGCCTCAGCACCACAGGGTCGCGTCTTTGATGAAGCGTTTTACTGCTCCTTTCTGGTTTTGACTGTAAACATATTGAGCAGTGGCTCAAAAATATTGTTTGTTGGCAACTTCATTCCAACGAAATATTGATGAGTGCTATATATCAGCCCTCAAAAAGCCATGAGTCAAACCTTGGCAAAGAGAGACTGGGAGATCAAGAATCAGTAACTTGGCAACTGGTTTGTATGTTTGTGTATCAGTATGTAACCACTTGAGTGTGTGTGTGTTTGTGTGTGTGTGTGTGTGTGTGTGTGTGATGCGTGTGCAGAGAGCGGAACCCTGTTGGGTGGCTGGGGAAAGCTTTGAGCTGCTAGATGCTATTTTGTGGGGATGATTAATGACCAGACGTTGGTGCGCAGCTTTGTGAAACCATTGTAGCCTTGGAGCCTGATCGTTCTTCTATCTAACATAGAGAGAATAAATTGAAAAATAAGTCTTCACCTCATCTACAAACACAGATTTACAAATTAAATACTCTATATAAGATCAGTTAAACACTACAGCAGTTTACGTACAAGGCTAAAACATGAAAAGGTATAAACCAGTCTTAACATTAATAAATCCGATCATGGCTGCCAGTGCTTGTATAGAACTGGTTACACTCTTTATGTCTGTGCTTTTGTGCATTAATAAGTCGAGGAAACTTTATTTATAAAGCGATGTTCAGACACAAAGCAATTCAAAGTGCTTTACAATGGCATTGAATTGCAGTAAAATACTTTGAGAAGGCATTAAAATTGCATTTAAAGAGAGGCCTTTAGAAAAGCATAGAATAATTAAAGCCATAAAATAATTTAAAAAAGGATATTAATATAACTGAGATGGACTTTACTCCTAATACTTTTTCTCAAGTACATGCTGCTTGTTGTTATACTTGCTGTCCCTGTACTTCTCTGCAGTGATATGTCTGCCTGCATGCAGATGCTCATAGCTCCGTCTCCCTTCCAGTCACATCCTCTTTCTTTTTCTTTGTCTTCTATTTGTTTATTCTTTTATCATCTTCTGTTTAATGTACCCACATCACCACCTCTTCAACTTCATTAACTCCCCCCTACTTTACATTTACCTGCTTTCCTTCTGATATGCCACTCAGATTTTTGCAGTGGATGACATGGTTTACCAGCAAGTGCTCAGTGGCAAAGTACATAAATATTTATATGAATACAACAGCCTCCCCGGGCTAGTTTGTCTGTTTTTGCTTGATTGAAGTGTCAGTTAAATCTCTCTGTTGCTGGGAAAAGCGTGTGGCCACATGTCCTATGAATAATTGAGCAAAAGCACTTGAAGTCACTTAAAGTAACTCAAAGTTCACATCTTTAGTTTTCAAAGTTCTAAAACACTCACAACACTTGTTTTGGAGTGCACTATGCGATAAGGGAGAACTTTGATTCTGACTGGACAGACACTGAATATTATTTAAAGAGAATCTCACAGTTCTCACATGGTAAATATTTCATATACCGCTTTTCCTTTGAGGTTTGCGGGGCGAGCTGAGGCCAATCCCAGCTGACATTTGGCGAGGGAAGGGGTACACCCGACAGGTTGTCAGCGTATCGCACAACCAAAATACAGAGACAAAGAACCATTCAGACCTGCGTTCAATTTAGAATCTGCAGTTAACCTTACCCCAATCTGCAGTCAACCAATGACAACATGGGGGGAACATGTAAACTCCACACAGAAAGACCCTAGCCAGAATTTGAACCAGGAACTTTCTCGCTGTGCCAACTACACCACCATCTGTGGTGTATATTATGAAAGTTAAACAACAGTTTCAGAAAGATTGTTTCAATTCAGCCTTTCAAGACTATTATAAAATCACATTTGGTATAATTATGTTAAAATACATAATTTAAAAAAGGACAGTATATATGAGAGGTAATCTACACTATATCTATAAGTGAAAAGATAGATGTTCATGGTGTATCAGCCAATCCTGAGATCAAAAATAACCATGGCCTCTCGAGGTAGTGAGAGGCTATTTGCAATGAGATATGCAATAGCTGCCTGTTACAATTCAAGCAGAGGGGCACTTGTTTATAAATTATGCCCACAATCCAGAGCTGAGGCTTGACTCTTTGTAATGTTTTCCAAAACAAGTCTTCTTTCTGTATGTTACAGCAAGTTTTCCCTGCTACTTTTTGTCAAGTGTATTCCCTATGTGCTTTGAGACAGAACTTGCCAGAAATCCAGGTGCCTAAATGTTTGTAATAAAGGTAAAGCAGTAGCTAACATACTCACCTGAGGATACAACTAATTAGTGGGTTAGCCTGAGTGAGAAACTCAGTGTTTATCTGTGTTCAGCTTAAAATCATCCAACATGAGAAACAAAGGCAATTTAGCATGGATTTAATAACCACATCATTATATGCATCACAGTCAAATTTACTGTGTGATTGATAGCTGAAATGTGACTAAAATATCACAAAAAACAATGTGGACCCAACACAGAACCCCGGGGCACAACTTTGTCTATGCATTGGTGTCGGTCTGTAGGCATAGTTTCTAAAATCAGACCTAGACAATTTACAAACAAATTATTATTTTACTATATCATTAACCTTGAAATGGTGCATGATGATAATTTGATGCTGTGTGTGCATAGCTGCACACCACTGTGTTGCTATGCTTAAAATTACTTGAGATTCACAGCTTTCAAAAGAGCACAAGTATCACACAAATATGAAATCAATGACATATAAAGTTCAACATAGATCCAAACTAATTGTGTGTTCGATTGCACTTGCAGACTATCGGTCCAAAGGAGGGCTGGCAAGTGTACAGCTCGGCCCAAGATGCTGACGGGCGCTGTATCTGCACAGTGGTGGCACCAGAACAGAATCTGTGCTCCAGAGATGCCAAGAGCAGACAGCTTCGCCAGCTATTAGAGAAGGTAAGGTGAATTTTGCAGCACATACAAGCACACACACACTCTCCTTTTAATAATGGGAATAACTAAAAAATAAAATTTCTTCTAAAATGTATTGTTCTTTTCAAGTGTCAAATTCACTCTAGTACCAGTTTTTTTAACGTAAACATTTAATTTACAACACTGCTGCAAGGCTTTGTCATGTTTGTTCTTTTTTAACAATAGCCTACTGCACATTCAAGTAGACACACACAGGTTCACCAGGGAGAAGCCAACTAAGTGCCTTTCAATAAGCTGCAGTGAAAGGAAGGAGAGAAAGGGAAGCCATCATCTACTCACACTTAACTATTAAACATCCAATGTGTTCGTCATATTTTTTTTTATATCATGGCTTGTTTTATTCTAGGTGCAGAATATGTCTCAGTCCATTGAGGTGCTGAACCTGCGGACTCAGAGGGATTTCCAATATGTCATGAAGATGGAGAACCAGATGAAGGGCCTGAGGACCAAGTTCAGACAGATTGAGGACGACAGGAAATCCATCATAGCCAGGAACTTTCAGGTACTGTACAGCCATGGTTTATCACAGCCTGCTTTGGTCAAATGCTCAGTGGACATTCTATTTAGATTTTACTTATTTCAGCACAAGAAGTAGTCTATGTTTTAATTTAGTGAGTTGACTTGATTCAGGATTTAACATTTGAATTTTGATTCAACTTCTAGGTTTAACATTTAACATTTTGGTCCGAATGTAATATTTAGATTTAACATTGACAATATCTTACCAAAAAGATACCTAGACACAAATACACAACTTTTTTTTATTGTGTTTTAAATGGTGAAACACTACTTAAACACTACTTTTTCTGCAATGAATGAGCTGACAACAATGACTGAGCAGGGAAAAACATTAGCATGGCAGGGACAATAACAGCCATGGTTACCACCAACAAATCTGAATATTGCATTTGCAGTGTATCATTGTTTGACAGTGTACCACCACACCTCTCTGCTTTTCTTTCACCTCTCTCTGTTTTCCATCTCTGCCGCTGTCATCGTCGCTTGGCAGGAGCTTAAGGACAAGATGGACGAGTTGAAGCCTTTGATCCCCGTGCTGGAGCAGTACAAGATGGATGCTGCGCTCATCTCCCAGTTCAAGGAGGAGATCAGGAACCTGTCGGCCGTGCTGACAGGCATCCAGGAGGAGCTCGGGGCCTATGACTATGACGAACTTTATCAGCGAGTCCTGCGATTGGACAGCAGGCTCCGCAGCTGCATGGGCAAACTAAGTGAGTATAGTGAACAACACAGGCAATTATTAAAATAACCGATTTTACCTTTATCTGAGTTAATTGATATATTCTAGTATTCTATTAATGCATGGTGCATTGTTTTCTACACTCTTATAATTGCACTAGGACTCTAGGACAATAATATTTGCATGATATCATGAATTGTCACAGTCATATTGTTGTCATAGTAACAGTTTTTTGTCCTAATGGTATACTGTTGTTTTCTGCCGCAGAGGAAAATAACCAAGGGGAAAATGCAAATAAAAAGTATTATATTGTAGAGCTTGACAGTTCCTCTCTCGCAGTTTGAAGCATGTGCGCACAAAAACGTCTTTGTGGATTCTGAGGCACCATCCAGAAGCCCCTTTAAAGCCCAGTGCTTTTCTTTGTTATATTGCCTTAACATCACACTGCAAAATAAATGTTTAATAGCAGTATGTTTTCACCTAAATTCACCTTGTGCAGGTGAAGAAAAGTCTCTGTTCTCGTGGACTGCATTTGGTGCATTGACAACCTTTCGCTGTTCAAACAGGACAACATGCCTAAATCTCAATGACAAGAAAGCTGCTGAAAGTATCAGCCTTTACCTAATCAGGAGGCTGTTTGTTGCTTTAAACATTTGTTATCACAGCAGCTGTCATTAGGTTATTCATCATGTGTTTCCCACAGAAAAAAGGGGTTCGATATGATCACACAGCGAAAATAAGATGAAGAAAAACCCCTAGAACAAATTTTTGAACAGTAAAGATGAACAGTCTGGTGTATTTTGTATAATTCAGCCAATTATTTTACACAGATTAATGAACAGTGCTGCGTGACCATATTTTCATTTTACTGTAATTAAAGACTAATGAACATTTCCATTAGCCTAAACCAAATCTATTGCAGTTTACCAAAGTTTCTGCTCATAACTCAAGACTTTGATTTTGGTCAGCACACACATGAAGCTTGTTCCATTTTTAAGACCCTGTCCATACAAATGCAAAAGTTTTGCAAAACAAACTTTTTACTCTGCATTTGGTCCTCTTCACATGCAAAAGACATTTTAAGTCACTTCAACAGAGATTTTCACATACGCCTTCCAAATTGCAGATTTTAAAAATCGGGTTTCTAACTATCTGTGTGTACATGTAAAACAGAGTTATGACGTCACAGTTTACTTTGAACATACCAACTGTTGATTTATGTAGTGAGCATTTGCCGGAAACAATGATGGCTACGTATCGGTTGAGATGAGAATATAACATAACTGAGCATCCTCATAATGTTCTTCTCTATTATTTATGTTGAGTATGATATATTTTGTAAAACGAAGATCATGTGGACAGAGCTTTTGTTTTGAAAACAGGTGAAAACATTTGCTCAAAAATATCCCCAGCAGTGTGGACAAGGCTGAGTCAAGGCTTATAGGATTTACATATAGGAAAGTTAAGTTCACAAGCAGCAATGCTAATATTTTGCTTCAAGTTAAATAGAGCTGCTTGCTGCCAGAACTATGTTAGTATGCAGAGAGGACAGACTCTCTGGTGGCACATGCATGAAATTGGCTTGAGAAATCTAGTTAGAGACAAAAACCACCACAGCACATCTTATCGCGGCATTTCTTTATTAACAGCATGTGGGAAATTAATGAAAATCACTGGACCTGTTACAATGAAGACATCTGGAACCCGGTTTGGGGCATGGATGACTGATCCTCTAGCATCGACCAGAAACAACAGGGTGAGTTATTAAAAAGCAGCGACTTTGCACAATATCTACATTGTGCTTTCAGAGGAGGCAGTATCACATAAGTATCACATATGAGCTTTGTTCCTTTTATCCTCTCTGATGCAGGTCTGGTACATGGACAGTTTCACAAACAGCAAGATTGTGCGTGAGTATAAGACAATGGAGGACTTTGTAGCGGGTGTCGTTTCTCGAACCTACAGCCTCCCATTCAAATGGGAAGGAACCAATCACATGGTGTACAACGGATCGCTTTACTACAACAAGTACCAGAGCAACATTATTGTCAAGTACAGCTTCGAGACAGGAAACGTGCTGGCCCAGCGAGCTCTGGAGTTCGCCGGCTTCCACAACATGTACCCATACACGTGGGGTGGGTACTCAGACATTGATGTCATGGCGGATGAACTGGGAATGTGGGTCGTGTATGCGACCAATCAGAACGCGGGAAATGTCGTTGTCTCTCAGATCGACCCTGATACCCTGCAGGTCCTGAAGACTTGGAACACGGAGTACTCCAAAAGAAACGCGGGGGAGTCATTCATGATCTGTGGGACACTGTATATCACCAACTCCCACCTGTCAGGAGCGAAGGTTTACTACGCCTACTCTACCAAGACTTCAACGTACGAGTACATAGACATTCCCTTCCACAACCAGTACTTTCATATCTCTATGCTTGACTACAACCCCAGAGAGAGAGCACTGTACGCCTGGAATAACGGACACCAGGTTATATTTAATGTCACCCTCTTTCATGTCATAAAAACTGACGATGACTCATAGACATTGCTTTATGGCTAAAACACCACCATGTGTGATACAAGGATCTCCATTTTCATGTTTTCTTTTGTCAAACTGGACTATGGTATCGTCATTACTTGAACTTTTCTAATTTGTGGCTCTGGATTCTTGGCTGAATTGAGCATGGACACCAACGACTTAATACCATTCTGGAAAACACACTTCTCCATTGCTGCTGCTCAGACTGGTATGCCTTATTTGCTGTGTGGGTCTGCCAGCCAAAGACTCTTGATGGCTTTTGCATGTTCATTTTATCTGCAGTGATTTCCTGTAGTATAGATGTGTTTTCATTGCAGATCTGTTTTGAATTTAGTCTATTTAAAAGTATTTAAACCTCAAAGGCATTTGCTACCATGTAAAGTTAGTTGATTATAAGATGTAGTATGCAGTCTTTTAAAATCTGTCAAATATCGCTGTTATGTATGTCTCTGTGGAAGAAAAAAATTTGTATTTTTTATAAAACTAAACCATAGAATATCTGTGCATTTTCATTAAAATAAAAAAGAATATACATTTCATTAAAATGGTCGTGGTTGGTTAAATTAATATCTGATCTTTAACGGTGATGAAATGTTAGTAACATATTGATCTTTCTTTTTGTGTTTGCTTGGTTTTTGTTAATGGAATGAAACCATGCATCAAGTGGAAAGGCACGCAGCAGAATTTGACATACAAATTCTATGTTATGGACCCATCCCTTATAACAACTATGAACTATGGGTAATTTTTTTAATTTCACCCTTGTTTCTAAGAGAGAATTGTGAATTGTGAGTGGGACATACATGATCATGTTTTGATATATTGAGGGATGGCAGGACACCTGTTGAAGTGGCCTCAAAAGGATGTAGTTTTTGTAGTAGTTGGAGTTAGTTGAGAGTTTACTAAAATAAGTTACACAGAGGCTGCACTAATTAATTTAATGCTTCAGTAACAGTAGCTGTGTGAGACATAAACTGAAAATGTAGAATATGATTGTATAACTGAGTCAACAACACTGTCTCTGACCTCCTCCATACCAGTGAAGACAGACTTTTACCATCAAAGCACAGATATATGATTCTAACATGAACAAGCCCTTGTGCATAAGCCAGTCCCTAAATACCTCCGCCAATTATTTGGATCCGCCCCAAAGTATACACACATAGCTATTTGTTTCTAAAATATATTTTTTTCTTCAAGCTCTATGAATTATTTTTGAGAAATCAATAAACAAGTTGATAAACAATGTTATACGATGTTAAAGAGACTGAAAACTAAAATTGGCAGAAGTAAATATGGCTTTGAACAGACCATATACACATATATATATATAGATAAGGTGAATTGTGATTTTAATGTTAAGTCACATGGTCATATCTCATCAGATGGAGTTGGAATAAATCATCATCATCATCATCATCATCATCATCATTATCACTGTCATTAATACAGTTACATAAAAAGAAGGAAAGTCAAAAAGAACTTCACTCTCTTGCTGCTTTGCGATGAGAAAGTCTGGTCCCAACACCTTAAACAAACCTTATTACCATGGAAATAAGCCTTGGAGCTTTTCACCTTTGGTAGCACTGGAATAAAGTAGCTATACACGCCACAACATGTTATTCAAAGCAATTTATTCAGGTCATACTCCCCTTGGTTGTAGAAGGCAGAGGAGATCGCATTACTCCATTTAAGGCGTGACAGGTTGTGTTACCACATTATTAATTTCAGGGTAAAAAAAAACAGACGCTGCAAAGTAGCAACCATAATTCTCATGGGGCTAACAACAACATGGACATACATAATAAAAAGCCTCTTCCTGATTATGATGGTGAAAGGAAGGCATTTGGGATGGCTTGAGAGTCATCCTTTGGCTTTTCAATCAGCATGAAGGGGCATATAACTGCTGGAATGATTCACTGTAATTTCCACCTCCTTACTATCCTGTCTCTATCGTCAGCATCAAGGTGACATTCACCTTATGGCACCCGATGGTTGGTTCCCAACGTGTCACAGTGTGGCGTCTCTCCTTCATGGGTAAACACACAGTTACCGTCATGAGACACAAAACGAACATGCCTGAGGCAAAGAACATTTGCGTGTTGCCTCATAAACAAACACAGACACACGGCAGGAGGTGGACTGTAATCTGCTAATTGAATCAGCCTCCATCAGACATCACAGGAAACTGCTGGAGCCTGTGTCATGACCTTCAGGGGCTTTTGATTGAAATGAGAGTTACATGATCACTAAAAAATGATGAAAAATAGGTGCCTGTAATAAAAAAGCTTAAAAAATGAGCTTGTTTGGATGAGAATAAAGCTTTTTAGCCTCTGTAGTGAGACACTGAAGCATCCACCTGAGCCACACAGCCGTCTGTTGTTAACAACGAGGGTGTGGTTGCTACATGAGGTTTCTCACATGACTACTGTTTTTCTTCTAATAAAAGTAGTCCTATGTGCTCAACTAAATGCCAGGAACATACAATCACAATAAAAAATGCAATGGATTCAGTCAACAGAAACACCATAGTGCTTTTACTATGAAACGGGTACCGGAGATGCTGTAAATACTTACATTTGAGACATATTCAACAGATACAGACATTGAAGCTGGTGAAAGATCATTTTCACTTGGTAGGTAAAAGATTTGAAATCCCTTATAGGAGTTATTTATATCACAACCTAAAGATTAATCCAGCTGTAGATTGATTACCAGAAATACCATTGAATGTACAAAGAAAATGAGTACCCTTTGATACCGACTATAATTTGGTAAAGATAAAAGATAAAAAAGCATTAAAACCTGCCATTTCACAAAACATGATTACCTATGGGAAACACTCTGGGACTTGATTGATCCCAGCGGGGCCTTCCTGAGGGTGAAAAGTGATAATGGGGACAAAACATCCCATGATCCTAGGGTTCACTGCTAACCCTGTGCCTTACAAAGTTGAAAAAGTTCTCCTCCTGGCTAAAAGCCGCAGTCACAAAAATGCTCTCTAAATATAAGCCTCTACAGTATTTTTCAGTATATTTCGCATATATATAGATATATAGATGTATATATCTATATATATATATATATACTGACTATGTGATTTGGTTTTATATTAGCCCTCAGTGTTTTCTTCCCTTATTGATTCCGCATCTAGGGATCCCCACAGTAACTCCACAGCTAACAACAACATTTAAAAAAAAGACAAACAGAAAACTTCCCGTCAGCGGATCTTAATTAAATCAAGAAATGGCTCATGCAGAGGACTCAATTAGGATTGATTCCCACTCCTTCTTCTCCTCTGTGTACACAGCACATAGCTGATTGGATGGTTGGCTGCTTATTCATAGTCAGAGCATTGGATCGAATTCTGCAGGTTCTGCCACATACATCTTGATCTGTGTTCACTCACTGAATACACGGCACATTCTGAATATGCTCCAGCATCCGCTCTATCGGGCTATATCAGAACAGGCCTGCATGGGCTTCAGGCTGTTGGACTCACCTGTGATGTGATTTTGACTGCACGCATTTGGATTCTTTTAGGGTCAGAGCCTGAAATAAAGGTGCTGTGCAAAGTGTGTCCAGGGCCAAAGCTCTGGCAATGATGCAGCCGCCTGAGGCACAAGCCTTAAAATAGTGTTGGGATTAGTTGATGTTGGAGTGGGACCATTAAGGCAACAGATTGCAGCAGAAGAACACCATTATTTAAACAACAGGAGGAAAATAATGGATGATAATTCATTGATTCCTTAAAATAAAAAACTAAATATGGTCGACAGTCCTTTCTTGGTGAAATAATACACTGTATATAAAGATGGACAAAATGAAAAAGTGTCTCGATCACCACCTAATGGCTGGCTGAGGTATAGGTTATAAATCCCACCTCCTCCATGTTAATTGGTGGGACATGGACCAAAAACTACACATTAAATAAATGTATCTCAAAGATGGTTTCTTTTATTATAGGTAATTCTTATCAAAATGATGGATGTTGAAGTGTTAATTTCTCTGGTAGGTTTGTTTTTAAGTAGTTATTTGAAAACATATAAAACAAGGTTGACTGAGAATTGTGATTGATGCATGTATCAACAGGACCTACTGCAGCTCCATCCCCTGAACACTACTGAGCAGACTCTGGCTCCAAATTAACAAAATATACCCGAGATATTCTATCTTAATTTCTGGACAGTATGAGGATGTGGAGATGTCATCCACCTTTATATGCAGTCTATAAGTGAGACTGTTGGTGTGTGTTACATGCCAACTGTCATGCGTTTGCGCTTTTGATTTAAATGGTGTAAACTTGTGACCTTCCTTTGAGAGGTGTTATTAATAAAACACAAGTAATAGCACATCATGTTGTTAATTTTAACTCCATGTCAAGTACTCTATTTGAGGACTATACTAAAATTAACTGCACCTCTTTTAAAATGACCAAGCGTAATGTGACTTGCCGTAATTTGAGCTCCTTTAGAAAGGATGGCAGAGAGCATTTGCACTGCTCATTATGAAAACCTGTTAACACAACAAACATGCTGCAAAAACAAAACTACATGCACAGTACAACTTGCCCATATGATCCATACCAGTGTTATTTCCATTACTGTATTTGCACATTCCTTCATATATAAGAGGCTTGTTTTGTTCCAGAAATGCCAGATATCAACATTAATGTTCTTCACATGTGTTCTCTGTCGCTCTCTCACAGTCGTTAATCCTAATCAAGCATGTTTTGTACCTTCTTGTGTGTTTTGCCCAGGGGATCAGTTGGGACTTCTCTGTGGTTTCTTTAATTGATCCAGCAGTAGCCTTGCAGGGCTGCTGCACACTGTTCCATTTCAGATCATTTATTGGAAGTTCCCAAGAAAAGTGATTTTGCTCAAATACTGTAATGACTCAGTGGTATCTGTCAATAATCCTGCTGAGCTCAAAATTAATTTCAAATTCATCTCATTGTGGATTAGGCCTATACAATCAAGAGACGCCTTGAAACTTCTCCCTCAAATCCACAGTAAAACCTTTACTCTCAAGCTTTAGTTTTCACTTCACTGTGACATCTGCCCAGATTTCAGAGCTCGGGGCATTGTGATGTTTGCTAGTTCTCTCTGAAACAAGGAAGCTATAGCTATAGTGTGTGCTGTATCTCTGTGAAACTGTAATTTCCTTATAGGAAAGGGGGCAGGAAAAAGCTGCCAGAACCAGTTTACGTTCACGTAACAAAACACAATTTATATCTCGGCTGACACGTCAACAGACGATACTGAAGTTTCTTTGACATATATTCTTATTGTATTGTGAAAACTCACCCCCTATCTCCCCAAAGCCCTAACGTTATATCCCTTTTATGAGAGACATCCACAACCACTCAGAGTGTCTGTGCCATAGTATGTAGGCAATCAGATGAATACTATTTTTTTTTTCCTTTTTGATCTCCCTCTCTCTTTTTCGCTCTCTCTGTCTCTGTCTTTTGAGTTTCATTGCTCTGAAAAAACACTG